TGCGCGTGCACCCATTCAATCGTTAACTTGTTTTTTTGTTGTTGTATGAAGTATGCAAACTTTTCCTGCGATCAACCCCCGGTATCATTCCCACGCTTAGTCGTGTGTCAAACAATAGAACTCAACACGTGGAATGACGCGTTTACACATTGCGTCGAGCAGGTATAATATACCGCTTGCAGATGTGCTCGATAATCGACGGTCGAAGGCGCGCGACGCCATGTTGTGGGACAAGCGTATACATTTGGGTCGAGTTATATAGATGCAGGTCATGGTTATTGAAGCTGACACTCTTGTAGAGATAAGGTTTACTTGAGTAAAAAGAGATCGGATATGATCGAGATTCTGTAGAGACCAGAACAGTCAAAGCGAGAGAGCGAGAGAGTATGTGTTAAAAATGAAACAAGCTTGACGTGTATCGATCGATGACATGATACAGGGAATCTGATACATCGAAAAAATTCAGTTACGAATTGTCAGTTTTGTGCCAAAATTGTCCGTGCCGAAATTCAACAGCCCTGATTAAACTTCAGTCTGGTATAGCAGCACCCATCCTGTAGCCATTGCAAGCGAGACCCAAGTCCAGTAACCGTATGTTGATTGATGAATTGCATTATAAGAAGTGAATGTAATGATAAGATTTGAGTAAAATGCAAGATAATTATCTCTCTGGTCCTTTTTGAAAAGAGGCTCACAGTTGTAAGATCGTTTTTATACTGAAGACTGATTTGCAATTTTAACTGTTATAAAATGAATGTTCAAATCTTGCCAGCGTATTGTGTTTGTGGTAAAAGAATTTGGAGACCGTATGCTGTCCAAAAACTGATCAGATTGAGTCTACAACTTGTATTGGTTTAATTATTGTATTTCATTCAGATTGCCACCCTGTCCCACACCACTCTGTAGCCAGATAACTGACCCGTGCAAGAGCCAGTGAAGTGAAGTGAGTCACACCAGAGCCAGCGACGTGTAGTGAGTCGTGCCAGAGCCAGTGACTTGTAGTGAGTCGCCTAGAACCAGTGAGGTGTAGTGAGTTATGCCAGAGCCATTGAGGTGTAGTGAGTCGTGCCAGAGCCAGTGAGGTGTAGTGAGTCGCCTAGAACCAGTGAGGTGTAGTGAGTCATGCCAGGGCCGTTGAGGTGTAGTGAGTTGTGCCAGAGCCAGTGAGGTGTAGTGAGTCGTGCCAGAGCCAGTGAGGTGAAGTGAGTCGTGCCAGAGCCAGTGAGGTGTAGTGAGTCGTGCCAGAGCCAGTGAGGTGTAGTGAGTCGTGCCAGAGCCAGTGGGGTGAAGTGAGTCGTGCCAGAGCCAGTGAGGTGAAGTGAGTCGTGCCAGAGCCAGTGAGGTGTAGTGAGTCATGCCAGAGCCAGTGCGGTGTAGTGAGTCATGCCAGAGCCAGTGAGGTGTAGTGAGCCGTGCCAGAGCCATTGAGGTGTAGTGAGTCGTGCCAGAGCCAGTGAGGTGTAGTGAGTCGCCTAGAACCAGTGAGGTGTAGTGAGTCATGCCAGGGCCATTGAGGTGTAGTGAGTCGTGCCAGAGCCATTGAGGTGTAGTGAGTTGTGCCAGAGCCAGTGAGGTGTAGTGAGTCGTGCCAGAGCCAGTGAGGTGTATTGAGTCATGCCAGAGCCAGTGAGGTGTAGTGAGTCGTGCCAGAGCCAGTGGGGTGTAGTGAGTCGTGCCAGAGCCAGTGGGGTGTAGTGAGCCGTGGCAGAGCCAGTGAGGTGTAGTGAGTCGTGGCAGAGCCAGTGAGGTGTAGTGAGTTGTGGCAGAGCCAGCGAGGTGTAGTGAGTCGCCTAGAACCATTGAGGTGTAGTGAGTCGTGCCAGAGCTATTGAGGTGAAGTGAGTCGTGCAAGAGCCAGTGAGGTGTAGTGAGTCTTGCCAGAGCCTGTGAGGTGTAGCGAGTCGTGCCAGAGCCAGTGCGGTACAGAGAGTCGTGCCAGAGCCAGTGGGATGTAGTGGGTCGTGCTAGAGCCAGTGATCAAGTGTAGTGAGTCGTGCCAGAGCCATTGAGGTGAAGTGAGACGAAGGCCTACCGCTACTCATAAGGTGTGAGTGCCCGTGAGTGATGGCTGCACTCTGAAGACTGCCTGGCAAATCCATATAGTGGGGACCAGACTGTAGTTTATTGTCGACCCATATAAAAGCTTCATCAAATTGAGTAAATACAGAATTTTAAACCTGGGTTATAACTGGTGTATTTTTGTTTTGTAAAGACTAAGACAGATAAGTATAAATCGAGTATTTTGATAATCTTTGGAAAGAATACGAATGCCGATATATATATATATATATATCTATATATATATATATATATATATATATATATATATATATATATATATATATATATATCCAATGAAATCGTCTTCTATCACAATTCACAGTGCTCGATACATCTCTGTAGAGCTATAACATGCAATAAATTCAGAATATTCTCTTTCTGAACAGACTGTTTCGTACCATAAGGCACTCATCAGCTGATGAATTTATTGCATATATATATATATATATATATATATATATATATATTTATATCTATCTATCTATCTATCTATCTATCTATCTATCTATCTATCTATCTATCTATCTATCTATCTATCTATCTATCTATCTATCTATCTATCTATCTATCTATCTATCTATCTATCTATCTATCTATCTATCTATCTATCTATCTATCTATCTATCTATCTATCTATCTATCTATCTATCTATCTATCTATCTATCTATCTATCTATCTATCTATCTATCTATCTATCTATCTATCTATCTATCTATCTATCTATCTATCTATCTATCTATCTATCTATCTATCTATCTATCTATCTATCTATCTATCTATCTATATATATATATATATATATATATATATATATATATATATATATATCCAATGAAATCGTCTTCTATCACAATTCACAGTGCTCGATACATCTCTGTAGATGAACTTAAAGGTAACGATCGAAGCCAACAAGGCAACAGTAAACTTCCTTGACATCACATTAGACCTGCGAACGGGAGGGTACAAGCCATACATGAAACCAGGTAATATACCTCTCTATGTACATGTCCAGTCAAACCATCCACCCGCCGTCATCAAACAGATACCAGAGGGAATCAACAAGCGACTCTCCAACATCTCGTCGAGCAAGGAGGCATTCGAGAAAGCTGCCCCGGCCTACCAGGAGGCTCTGCAAAAAAGCGGGCACAAGTATCGACTGACGTACACACCGGGCAATAACACCAGGAAAAGGACTAGAAAAAGGGAGGTGACATGGTACAACCCGCCATACAACAAGAACGTACGTACCAACATTGGAAAGAAATTCCTTCAGATAATAGACAAATGCTTCCCCAAGGAACATAAGCTTCACAAAGTGCTCAACCGGAACACAGTAAAGTTATCGTACAGCTGCATGCCGAACATGAAGGCAACGATCCAGTCAATCAACAAACGGAAGGTAAAACAGGAGGACGACGTCGGTGGTAGAACATGCAGTTGTCCCCGCAATGCCGAATGCCCGCTGAACGGGGAGTGCCTCAGCAAGAACATAGTGTACCAGGCCACCGTCACGAGCGAAGGCAGGAAGGAGGCATACGTCGGGCTGACGTCCACAACCTTCAAGGCGAGACTGGCGAACCACAAGCAGTCATTCAGATCCGAGAGCAAGAGGGCGCAAACAGAGCTAAGTAAACATATATGGGACTTAAAGGACGAAGGGAAAGACTATGAAATCAAATGGGACATTGTTCTGAAAGCACTGCCATACTCTAACGTAAACAAGAGATGCAATTTGTGTATAGCAGAGAAGTACATAATCATATGTAGGCCAGATCTAGGTACACTGAATAAGAGAAGCGAAATCGTCTCCAAGTGCAGGCATCGAGACAGATGTGTTCTTACTTCAGTGACGTAAACGCGTACTAACTTCAATGACGTAACGCGCGTAACGCGTGCGCGCGCTTGATTCGAAATAAGGTAAGATGCTACTTGTATTCTATTTTTCGTCATTCTGCTGATGAGTGCCTTATGGTACGAAACAGTCTGTTCAGAAAGAGAATATTCTGAATTTATTGCATGTTTATAGCTCTACAGAGATGTATCGAGCACTGTGAATTGTGATAGAAGACGATTTCATTGGATATATATATATATATATATATCTGTAGGCCAGATCTAGTTACACTGAATAAGAGAAGCGAAATCGTCTCCAAGTGCAGGCATCGAGACAGATGTGTTCTTACTTCAGTGACGTAAACGCGTACTAACTTCAATGACGTAACGCGCGTAACGCGTGCGCGCGCTTGATTCGAAATAAGGTAAGATGCTACTTGTATTCTATTTTTCGTCATTCTGCTGATGAGTGCCTTATGGTACGAAACAGTCTGTTCAGAAAGAGAATATTCTGAATTTATTGCATATATATATATATATATATATATATATATATATATATATATATATATATATATATATATATATATATATATATATATATATATATATATATATATATATATATATATATATATATATATATATATATATATATATATATATATATATATATATAAATGTAAAACGAATGTTATAATCATACGCAAAGCTCCAGGTCTATTCCACATGTGTGTTTATATCTGTGATAGTATATGCAATGTACATATATCTGTAAATACATGTTAGTTCAAACAGACGTCAGAAGTGCTTTTCTTTTGATTGATTTTTGTTTGAACTTCTTCAGAAAGGAATTCCATGGAAACAAGGTGAAGGTCATAGGTCATGTGCATATGAGTGTTGTAATGGTGACCACACTTCATACATTCCGTTCGTGGCACCAGTAATGTACGTATCGCGCGCACAACTTTGCCCAAAAAAGAGGAAGCAGTCCCGCGTATGCAATCACAACCTTGTAGTCTTGCATCATTTGTTGTTTCCGTTGGAATTCCGCTCAGAGTACAATGATCATGGCATATTTGATCGTATATTGTGTTTTGTATACCACTCGCACCGACTGGGACATATCTGACACATTTTGAATCTGCACAGACTGTTCTAGGATGTTCTAGCTCCACACGCTTCAGGTCAAATCCAGAAAACTTCATGGCTTTCAAGCTGTCCATATCTCTGTCGTCCAGGTCAATTTGTTTCATAACCTCATTGCCTTCATGTACATTTTGTTGGATTGTCTTGGTCACTTCTGCCATGGGTTTGCTCATGGCCAAGATGATTCTTCGTGACTCATTCAAACTCAAAGTATTCCGAATTTGGTGAGGCCCCAAAGAGCTGATGTGCTCAAATAGCTTCTTGGTTTGTTCAACAGACTTGTTCCAGCTTTTAGCATAAGCGTCTATCTCCTCTTGGCTGAATTCCACTCCGTTTTTTACACAAGCCAAAAAGCGGAAAGGCTCGTTATCAAAACAGAAGTAGTTGCTTGGAGTAGCTTGAATTCCAACCTGTTTGTTCCTGAGCTCTCTGTTGAGGGTAGGCAAGGTATCTCCAGGCTGGTAGAATGTAGCTCGAGCATTGGTGAAGCAAAATACAATATTGTCTTTGGCTGACGAATGCAGATGAGCCAAGAGTTCTTGGATGCAAAAGCGGAACATTACTGTTAGACGTGAATTGTTTGGCTTGAGAAGTATGCACACAGCATGAATCTCCTCGTAGTAGGTAAGATGCGATAGTATATTGTCAAAGTTTTTCCGATCTTGTTCTATACCTTCACTAGCTCCTATTCCTGGTGTATCAATCAAGCGAACGATGTCCCCTCCTACGTTAAAGACATAGGAACGTGGGTCTTTGGTTGCAGATTCTCCTTCTTCCATGTTCTCATTTGTGTCACTTTCCCCAACCATTATCTTCGTTTCCTCCCCGTCCTGTGTAAAGGTGAAGCTGGACGGTATTAAAACCTGGAATTCCTTGGCATTCATAGCTTCCTCAAGACCATCATAATAAAGGTAGTTAATAAAACCGTTGATCCACGTAGATTTTCCAACGCCAGTCTCACCCAGTATCAAAATGTTTTTCTCCTTCCAGGCCCGAAGATTTGACAGCTCCGCAGAGAGAATATCGTGTTGACACTCGATGTATATCATGCCGTGATCCTTCTCATTACAACGCCAGAGTGATTCGTTGGGGTCAGATTGTCCGCATTTGCAGTAAAACAGTTTAGCTTCTATGCCATATTCAACCAACTCCCTGCAGTTGTAACACTTCCAAGTGACAGGGTCGCCTGAACATTGACCATTTCCGCCCAAAGCATTTGGGCATCTTATCTGGACATATGCTCGGTTGTGTGGGCGTATTTGCTTGTGAACTGGTCTTATGATTTTTATCAGACACATCTCAGAGTCTTTGCCTTCTTTGGCGTACAGGTCTACCGATGTTAGAAAATCCTTTTCAAAGCTACGAATGGTTGTCTTATTTTCGCCAGACGGCCAAATATCCTCTCTTAGGTTTTGGTCCACAACAATGAATTTGTAGTCCTCATCATGAGCATGTGTTGTTTGTAGTCGCACAAAGAGTCATGCATTCGTTCCATGAACAGAACATAGGACTTTTTTACAAAACGATTTTTGGGGGGTAAGATTTCAAGCTTATTTTGTCCATGAGCAGTCAGGCAAATGATAATTTCAATACAAAATGCAATTCTTTAAATGTATGCATTTTGAAGAGACTTCACATTACCCATGAGGAAATAATCATGACATCACCTCAATTTTAACCTATATCAGGGCCTGTCTTTGTACATACCAAGTTTCAACCCAATCGGTCTTGCATTGTTTATATGTCCTTAGAAAATGCACATTTAAGATTATGTTACATAAACCATGACATCATAACGACGTCACAGGTCTCATGACAACACGAGACGTCAGATGACCCCCAACTACATCATGATGACATTATGACGTCATATTGTCCAACGGACGACTTGACATTTTCAGTTGTCAATTGTCAAAGAAAGCTTACATCTTTTACCAATTTCAAAATACAAGGGATTTTTGGTTTCAAGCAGACGGAAGGATGACATGATTGTAGATGTAATATCAAAACTGAAGACCCTGGATTATTCTTTCGATTCCCGTAAAAAGCAAAATCAAATCTCTCACAGTGGATTGATTTTATATTGATTTCAAAGATAAAATCTAAAAGTGTATAGTGGTTTTTAATCTTATAATTGACTTCGTCATGACATCATTACCAGAAAGCCCGAGAGCTATATTAACTATGCTATTTGAAAGAAACATCTGTATTATATCTCTTCAGCAATTTTGTAAGGTTTAAATGTCTTTTCATTGTAACTTTTGGTCTGGTGACGTTATCAATCTTTCTCCCCCTCAACTTTTTCTTAGCATGAAGGCGATTATGTACATCAAATATAAAGTAATTTCAGCAAACTTTGCCACACACACTTTAACTGATTACTCATTTGCATCATGTTCAACCTGCCGTTAGAGGATGCTCAATCATGTTATGACTTGACCTGTATTGTTTGTGTGTGAAGTACAACCTAGTGAGAGCTAACATCGCTGAAAGCAAGTTCACATCTTTAGCCAATTTATATTATAAGGCACTCGGGATATAGAGTACACTAACCGTCACACTTATGCAACAATAAAAAAATCTCTGCCTCAATGAAAGTTTATAGACGATTTTGATTTTTACATGTAAGTAATGACTGTCATTAATTTGACTTGAAAATGACTGTTTTCAATGCGAAGTATAATGCAGAGTTATATGCATGAAAAGTTTTTCTTGCTGACGTACGCAACACTCACCAAAGATGCATGACATTGGGTAAAACAAAAAACAGTTCTGCTTCCGAGTATATGGAATTTAAAGTAGGGTGGCGAGGTAGGGAAATATATTTTTTTTAGTACGATCATAATGATGAGGTGTCTGCCTGTACTCAAGGGTTAAACAAGTAGTAATTGATGATTTTTGGGTTTCTTTCCTCATGTCCCCCCCCCCCCCCCCGAAAAAAATATAGGGTAGGGGCTGTCAAAATAAGTTAGGCAGGGTAATCGGAAGCAGAACTATTTTTTGTTTTGGCCTTGTGACTGAATGTTGTTTGGGTCGCCCGGTTCATACTTCATGCGAATGCAAAGCGAATTTGACGTCATGAAACTTTTGCTGCGAAATTGACCCGAGTTGAAATGTGTTCAACTTTTACGAATTCGCAACGCGAATACTTGCCTTGACGTCACAAATTTGCGTTCGCTTTTGCGCCGAGTATGAATCGGGCTTAATGGTAGGCATTATTCATGGGTTAGCCATATTGAATTGAAAGCAGGATAAAACAAAAATGTTGGGACTTGCAAATAGAAATGAAACAAAAATAACGCCAGCTGGGCTCTGATAAATCATTTAAATGTTGCAATTAGTTAACGCTAACGTTTCATGCCACATTTAAAACAAAAATTAAAGTGAAGCTTGGAACACATTCCATTCAACAGTTTACAAGGCCTATTTACGCATACGTGATTTTGTTGCATGGCAATGTTGCGCACCCGCTTGTGTAAACCATAGTAGGCTGTGGGCCAAAGCCTATAACGTGCAGTTTCGTCGTAACTTTTTAGTGGCAACTTTATTTCTCGGATACAAGTAGTTTAAAACATGTTAATTGATATTTCACAATGTGCACATGTAGTCCAGCGGATATGTGACAAAATATCGATGAATTGTGCACTTTTGCATAAAAGCGTGAAACTCGGCACAGATGTTTATATTCATGCGAGAAAATGTTTTAGATGTGGAGCCATCGCAAATTTACCCTTTTATGGGCGTGGCATCCATTTAAAAAGGGGGGCGGGACTTGTCGTGCCCGCAGTGAAAATGGTTTTCCCACTTGTTACAAAAGTAGGAAACTTCACAAAGACATAATTATATAGATTAGTGTTTTCCAGATTCGGAGCCACCACAAAAGTACCGTTTTGGGGGCGTGGCAGCCATTAAAAGTAAAGGGGGTTAAATTTGCGATGGCTCCACATCTAAAACATTTTCTCGCATGAATATAAACATCTGTGCCAAGTTTCACGCTTTTATGCAAAAGTGCACAATTTTTTCACATATCCGCTGGACTAATGAGGGCGATCGCAATGCATCGCTGCCATTGCGTACCAGCCCCGTCATGGGCGCGTGTGCGTTCCTCCATCAACTCGCGGCTGTGGGGCATTAAGAGGCGACGCCGACTGGCTAGAACAGAGCGTACTGCGCGCCTACTTCGAAATCTGCGCGCCCCATATCCGCTCACGCGTTATCACCTACACGCCAAGTAACATACGATTTTGTTCGGGACTGCTTGATGTCTTTTTGATTTTGATTCCGGAAGACCAGTTATACACCCACAAAAACATGTATTCTGGGTAAAGAAATTGATGAAAAAAATATCGTGTCACTTACTTACTTGACACCGAATAACTTGTGATTTACTTGTGACTGATTTGTGTTGTAAACGGGACGACAGAGGTACGTAAATTAATATCGATCCCTATAACGCCACGTCGACAATTCACTTCTTCTTCTTCTTCCAGTGAGTACATCCCTCCATAGTGGAGTATTGTCGTACTTGGGTGCAAAAGTGCTCGGTCACGGGAACAAATATTAACAAAGAGTGCAGTAAACTAATTTAGAACTTGGTGCAAGTAAAAACGATGCCCCTGTGGCATAACTAGCGGAGGGTGAGAGGTTTCAAGCTAGTCCGGAAAATCTCCAGTGACTGAGCTGAAACCACGGTGGCTGGTAGGGCATTTCCAGATGCAGATGACACTTGGTTGTTGGTGACCCCTTTTCTGGTTTGATGAAGAGTACAAGTAGGGTGGGGTAGGAGGGATGGCAACGAGACCGTGCATTATCCTCTACAGCATGGTGACTTTGTTGTGGGTTCGACGTTCGTAGAGAGTCTGCCATTGGAGATTGTGTATATCGGGGTGACACTATTCCGTTGGTTGTAGTCAGCCGTTACAAATCTAGCGGCACGCCGTTGCACCATATCAACCTTGGAAATCAGGTCCTGTGAATGTGGATCCCACACCGAGGATATTTATTCAAGGGTGAGACGGACATAGATCTTGTAGGCCTGTTCCTTGATCTTTGGGGGCATCTTCTCAGGTTGCGGCGGAGAAAGCCGAAGGTGTTGTTGCTTTTCTTACAGATGTTTTGGACATGGGGTTTTCCAGCTGAGATTTCGATGGATGGTGACACCCAGAGATTCTAAGAACTTCACATTTATCGGTGTTGAATGACATTAGCCACTTTTTCTCCCACTCCTGAAGGTTTGCAAGATCCTTTTGAAGAATGGCAGTGTCGTTTTGAAATTGGATGGGTCTATACAGGAGAGCATCATCAGCGAAGAGGCATAGGTTTGACGAAACGCACTCAGGCAGGTCGTTGAAAAAGACAAAATACAACAGGGGCCCCAGTGCGGTGCCTTGGGGTACCCCTGATGTTACACTGGCAACGCTGCTCTTTTTTTCCCTCAAGAATAACTTGCTGGGTACGTCCTGATAGGAAATCTCGGATCCAAGACAGTAGCTGACCTCTGACCCCATAGTAATGGAGCTTCAGGAGGAGACGTTCATGAGGTACTTGGTCAAAGGCCTTCGAGAAATCTAAAAGGATTGCATCGATCTGCTACTTGTCTCGTATACCTCTGGCCAGGTCGTCTACTGTTAACAAGAGCTGGGACTCGCATGATCGCTTCTTTTTAAATCCAAATTGGCATTCTGTTCACAGGTTGTGGGTATTAGGGTGTTGAATGATGTGGCTATGGATGATATGCTCAGCTGTTTTGCAAACGATAAATGTGAGAGATATGGGGCGGTAGTTTTCAGGTCTGTGTTTGTCACTTTTTTCGAAGATTGAAGTTACATCCGCCGATTTCCATGCATGTAGGATTTCCTTGGTGAAGGGTTGCCGTGAAAAGTTGGCAAAAATAGGCGCAAGTTCTTCAGCTGCCTCTTTGAGAAGATAGGCAGGCAGATTGTCAGGACCACAGGCTGTGTTGGGCTTGATGTTGGCGAGGAGTTTCCTTACACCTTCACTAACGATGGAGAAAGATGGAACTGTTGGGTGCGGGCTGGTGCCAAGATCT